AAATAAAAAAAATATATAAAACAAAATTTCTTTATATATAAATTTTACTATAAATCTAAAAGTAGAGTCCTTTTATTTAAAACTTTTTTCTTACTAAGTAAACTACTCTTTAGCTTCTAATAAAAGTTATAGAGCTTATTAAGACATATCTAATAGTAGTAAAAATATTAAAATTAATCTGGTGGTTCTAAGAAATCTTTAAAAAAACATTTTATCTATATATAAAATTTCTTTAATAAATAATTTTTCAGTAAACTGAAGAATAATCATAGTATAATGCAATGTAGTTCTACTATATATATAAATTATTTAAGATGAAAATGTGGTGTTTGTCTAAAGAAAACTTTTTTACTAAATAAATTATCTTTAAAATTCTAACAAAGAAAGAGAGTAGCAACTTAAAGTAGTGGTTAAGTTGTCATTCCCCAAGCAGCAGGTCAAGAGTTCGAATTCTACTGGAGACATTTTTAGAAAAATAGGCCTGTATACTGGTAACAATTATTTGACAATTGGTTGGATATATTACCTGTAATCTTGGTACTATCATCTCAAAATAGAAGCTCTTGGGCAATCTAAATCTAAGAAACCAAAATAATTGAAACCTATTTGGCAAGACTTGAGTAAGGAGGTAGTGAAGATCTTTAACAATACTGCAGAAAAGTCAGAAACTAGAGACCGAAGAACCGGATGAAAACCCTGAGGCAAGAAGAGTCCATCAACCTGACTGCCACTGAAGGAAAAGGTCTTATGCTACAGAATTATGAACCAAGGGAAGTAAAACTAAAAGGTACTTAAAGCCTAGATACAACCCATTCAGGCTAACTGGTTAGGTAGTTGGAGAGAGATTAGTATAAAGACTGGCTTGATATGGGTATTAGGATCAGAGTGAACTTTGTAAGAGCACTAAATACCGAAATTGTGCAGTTTAATAGTTCACTCTGACTGCTAGTGGTAGTTTCGGCTACTGCAGAAGGTATTTGTAGCCTAATCTGGAAGTGTATAGAACATAAAAAGATTAGGGGGTATATACTATATTCTCCCTAGGGCAACCCGGCAGTATAAGAACCCTACTAGGTTATCTATAGAATTAGAGCACAAGTAATATAGCAGATGTTGATTTGGGTGGCCTTCAATAAGAAGCAGTATAAGGTTATAGATTGGTGTGATTAAGGTGGTGGTGCAGGACAGTGGATATCAGAGGGTTTAAATAGGTAATCTCCTAGTTAAGTTACAGATATAGCATATAGTATAGAACCTTCAGTGAACTACTTAAATTAGACAACCAAAAGTTATACATGTAGCTATATATACTCTCGTTAACCAAGAATATATTACTAAAATACTTAATAAAAATCTATCCTTCTATGACATTGCGAAGATAAAAAAAAAAAAAAAAAGAATTCTAATGTAAGTTGTAAAGCTTATCAAATGCATTTAATGATGATAAAACTATTGAAAATGGTTTGGTAATTCTTGAGAAATTTTTAAAAAACATTTCACTAACTATATAAAATCTCTTAAAAAATCAATTTTCTTTAAAGAAATTTTATATTTTAGTAAAATATTTTTAAAGATTTCTCAAAAACTTCTAAGCCAATTTTAATGTTTTTACCACCATTAGATATATCTTGATAAGCTTTATAACTTTGTTAGAAGCCCAAAAATGATTTGTAAGAAAAAAATTTTTCTTAGATGAATGCTATATTTCTTTAAAAAATCTTCATATTTTTGTTTATTGATTTACTTATAAAATTATATTGCATTACACTATAAGAATTCTTTAGTTTATAAGAAAATTATTAATTTAAAAAAAATAATTTTTTTTTATATATTAGTAAAGGTTTTTAAGATTTTAGTATTTTTATTACTATTAAATGCATTTTGATAAGCTCTACAACTTTGTTAGAAGCTCAAAAGTAATTTACTTAGTAAAAAAAGTTTTAAATAGGAGTACTTCACTTTTAGGTTTATAATAAAATTTATATATAAAAAAAAGTTGTTTAATATTTTATGAACTACTTATTAAAATTAAACAAACTTTATTACTAAAATATTATTATAATAAACTCTGAATAATTGTAATAAAAGTTATATATTAAAATAAAAAAATTAGTCAAAATTCTGACAAATTATAAATATACAGGTGTGTAATTAAATTTAAATAAGAAGCTTTGTACAAAAAATTAATTGCAAAAGAAATTATAAAATTTTATTATATAAAAATTTAGTAATTAGGCAATGCAAAAATAATTAATTGGTTTTCATAACCCGGCCGGGTCAAAATTTGAAAATTTGCAAAAAAAATTTTTGATATGTTTTAATAACTGGGTGGGTATTTTAAATTTTTTTTTAAAAAAATTTATAAATTTTTATATATGAAATTTAAATAAAAAAAGCCGGCCGGCCAGGTCTGTTTAAAAGTTTCATGGTATGAAAACTAATATATTAAATGTGTATGGCCTTATGAATAGTTAGTAAATAATTTTATTACAAAAATTACTATTCTAATATTAGAAGTTAGTTTATATTAGAATTATTATAATTTCTATTATAAGTTACTTAAGAATTCTCTTATAGAACTTAGTTGCTATTCAAGTTACCATAATAATACTTAAAGTAAATTAGTTTGCATTAAAATAATTATGACTTATTTATAATTTTTTAAAAGAATTTTATTATAAAACTTATTTATGTTTAGATTAAGATAAGTCTATATTAGAAATAATATAATTTCTATCACAAATTAATATAAACAAAATCTTATTACAGAACTTACTATTATAAGTTACTATAAATAATTCTGTTATAGAACTTGTTATTTTGCCAATTATAATATTTGAATAGTTGTGATTTTTATTTGAATTTTTAAAAAAAAATTAAATAAATTTAGTTTTATATTAGATGCACTTTGTATTAAGTTAAAAAAATTAAATAAGGCTACATATATAAATAAAATTGATTCTCATCACCCAGCCAGGTGACTTTTTTGCAAAAAGTAAAAATTTTTTTTATATTAAAACATATAAATAATCTCTATAGCTAGTTGAATTGTAAAAATAATTTCATAATTAGACAGGTAACAACTATAGCAAATACAACTTAATGCAATAAGGTTTAGTGACATAATTAAATAGGTATTCTTTAGCAAATTTGCAAGTATTAAAAAGTAGGATTTGTATCAAAGTATCTACTGATATGAGGTAATAATAATTAACCAAAAATTTAATATTTTGTGAACCTGATATTCGATCTGTTATATTGATCCTGCCATTTTATCTAAGATTAAAGTGTTAACAATAACCTGTTAGGATAACTGTTACAAGAAACAGCATTTGAGCTTTTAGATCAATAGGTACGATTGTAGGACGAAATTTGTAATAGTTAATAAATATTGTAAGGCTAAAATAAACTTTTATTAAAGAACTCCTTATTCTTATATAGGTAACATATTCTTCAAATACCATTATGGCATTAACTTTTAGATCACTGTGATCACTATTACAAGATATTTGGATCAACTATCATATTTGTTAACTTTAAAATCTATGGCATAGAACTAAAAAAAGAAAAAAGAATATATAGTTATTGCATACTTCACATGCAATAACTATATATTCTTTTTCACAAGACAAATACTTATGAGATTGTGTAGGTTGCTCGATAACATGCTCAAGAAATCTTTTTTTATTATCACATGACTAAAATATAATTTTGAACAGTACCACTATCATACTTTCATAATAGCTATGACATCTTAACTGCTTTTTTTTTTTGTTTGAAACTTAACACCCTTGCCTTTTTTTTTTTAGATTTAATTTTGATATTACATTCAGGACAATATGGCTATTAACCAGCAGGAGTTGGTAAAAGATTTCTATATTACTATACTGAAAACAGACATCTGGATAAAGATGAGAGAAGAAGTATGAAACTCCCATTAGTGTTGAGCAGGTAAGCTTAGCATTAACGAAAACACGCTTGAATAATGCTTCTAAAGATAAATCATTAGCCTCATTCTGTTGTTCTGTAGATGATTCATCGATAAACTTATTTTCATCTTCCATAACAACAATATTATCTACATCATCGATATTATCCACATCATCGATATTATCCACATTATCGATATCATCCACGTCAATAAAATCATCCCCATTATCTATATCTTGATATTTGTTACAATTGTTGTTTAAGTATGATTGTAAACTGGCTTTTGTAAGGTCTGATATTTCATAAAAAGTTGTACCACATATATAATCATTGTTTTAATGAAGTTTTTAAGAAAACTTTCTTCCCCTAGATTTAGATGATATTGTGAATAAAGAACCTGTAGCTAGTTACATTCAATGCACTTAACCAAAATGTGCATATTTGATGCATATTGTGCTTGGGGACTAAAGCCTATGCCATTAACACCAAGATTATTAGCCGTAGTTGTTGATGGTGATGTGGCTTTTTGAAGTGAAGACAGGCAATATTTTTCACTAGTTTCTCTACTATATATTTCACAAAATTGCATATAATAATCTTCATTTGCTTTAAGAATAGGATCAGAGAAAGGTCGCAACTTTAAAAATGTATCGGGATTGCTCTGTAGAGGTTTACATATCATACAACCGTTTTTAGCTTCTTGGCATTTTCTAATTTCAAAAAAGTAAGTTCTTGAACGATAGCAATGGTTCATGAACTCAAGAATGCGGGACTATATTTATATATGTGTAAATTCATAAGAAGTTTTTTTCTGGTTTTTTTTTTCTGATTTTTTTTTTCTGATTTTTTTTTTGATTTTTTTTTTCTGATATTTTTTTTTTCTCTGATTTTTTTTTCTATTTTTTTTTTATTTTATTATTTATTTATTTTGAAATTCAAACAGACCTTATTCTCAATATGTTTCTTAGATGTGTCTTCTGGTACCAATAAATTATCTACTTCAAGCACAGACTCCTACAATCACTCCATGTTTTGCTCAGTCACTGATTCGAATATAGAAAACTGTTCTCCCTTAAGTTCCAGTCATTCAAAAAAATATCCTGTATAATAGTTTTAGTAGGTTGTAAGCTTTCAATTATTCCTCTTTTAAACTGAGGTACTCTTTTAGCCTTATTTCGAATTTCATCTATTGTATTACAACTTTTCATCAAGCTTTCTAATTTTTCATTTATCTCACTTCTCATTAGTCCAATGCACTGTAACCCAATGTTTAAAATAGACATAACACGTTCGACTGGGTTTTTTCATGAATATCCCGGAGATGTATGAACGGCAACCAAAAGATCAAGGTTCAGGGCCAAGAAAATTGCAATTAATGCAAGTTGTACATGAAGAAAGTTCACCCAGTAGTCTGGTCCACCATTAGTGTATATAAAAAGATAAGGTTTGTCATCGTCAGTGCTTTCTAAAATATTATATAATTCTGTGATATGCCACATTAGGCTTGATTGCTCAAATATACACTCTTTTAGCCCTACATGAACCTTCCCGTTATAAAATAATTCATCAATTGTTTTAGGTATATTGCACAATATTGTAACGCTTGGAATAATCCCACATTTTGTAAAATCATGGTCGCTTACAACAAATATTGTATTGCGATTAACAAGCACTCGTCTTTCACGTTCTACAGCCGCAATCGGATGTCCAGGTTCACCAACTTTACAGCGATGTTTATTATCCATAAAAACAAGCTAGGCCTCATTTTGAAACATTATTGCATTTTTCTTTAAATAACGAAATAGCGCAGATGCATAATGCAAGTCTACGTGTTCACCTTGAAGCTGGCGAACTTGAACTATAAACTTAACAGGTAAAATACCCATATATTGTAAACTATTTTTAATTGTCAGTGTGGTTGGCCAAAATTGTAAGTGTAGCCATTGAGTTGATGGAATTGGTGCTTGTGAATTAATTTTTTTTACTTCTTGTGTTATTATATTATGAAGATCGCAGACTAAAATGGCTTGTGCAAGGTGCACAATTGGATTGTGCCTCCTTTCATCGATAGCAACCACGGTTTCCTGCGCAACGGCTTCTAAAAACTTCTTGCCTGCAGCCCAAAATTCATCATATTTGCTTGGTCAGCCTTCATTAAGTTCTCGAAGATCATTTATTACTTTAGGATCATTTAGCTCAAAGGCTAGTTTAATATGTTCATCTATTTCACTCTAATCTATTAATTCTGCTACTGATGCATCATTTGTCAATTCTTTATAGATGCATCATAACTTAGCCTTTGGCTGCTTGTTTAAATGAAGTTCACAAATATCCATATATTCTCTATGCATACATATATGATAAGTGGACAAATCTTTTTTGATTTCTGTTCGAATTTTATAGTGTTGATTGGAAACTTCTTCTTCTATTGCATCTTCATCTATGCGCCAGGCATAAGTTATATTGCAAACATTGCTATTATGATAAGTATACATTCCAATCTTAAATATAAACCCAGTGCTTAAATTGGCTAAATATTGATGCTTTTGCCTACATAATACAGTATGAAATAATTTTAACAATTTTTTTTTTTTTTTTTATAGCATATAATACATACATAGGTGATATTGAAGAGCAAAAGCTATCAACTAAAATTGGCTGCCAGTATGATTTTTCATGTAATGCCAATGAAAGGTTTTTATACTTTTCAGTATTCTCTAATGTATATTTAACATTTGCTACTAATATCTTTAGTTGACCATTGTCATATTCATTAACTATGGGATGATTAAATTCTCGATTTTGAGATGTTTCTGTATGTCTATTGTTAAGATATTCAGTGTATTTAGAAAGATCTTTGCCAAATTTTGTTACAGGATCTTTAAGGAATCTTGAAAGTGATAACTTTGTCAGGGTAACATATTTAAGAAGACAGTCACTATATTCATAAAGTTCTTCAGCATTAAATCTTGGCTGGGTGCATTTATAATTTGATGGAATATTATACCTTATGAAATTATTGAAAGCTTTAGGCAATTTATATTGCTGGGTAAACGTATCACTATTACATCCATCCACATACCATAGTGCATTAGTCAAGTCTTGTATAAACGGCTTTCCAATTGTCTTAGCAGCGTTTGGTCCTATCCAACCTCCATTCTCTTCTTTAATCTAAGTTTGTATGTTATTTTGTAATTGCTCTTTTTTATTTAGGTTGTTATTAAATTTCTATGTTGGAAGTGTAATAGAAGTTTGGGTATTAAACATAACCTCAAAGGGGTTGATATATTGGTTAATTGATGATGAAGTTGTCTGAGATGAGGTAATTGAAAAATAAAATGTTTTCCATAATCCATTGCGACTTTCTACAAATTACACTTAAGGTCAACACTTTGATTGACTGTAGTTTTTGAATTTCCACATCGAGCCTCGACTCTTTCAAACAGATTCAAATATTCAAAATGATCATTTAATGAATGGTTTTCAACCAGTTCTAAAATAAATTGCTCAATTGTAATATTGCTTTGCACAGGTACTATTTTCCAACCAAATAATGTTTTTGATCCTTGAATAACTTGTATATTTACTGCTAGCATAGTGTAAAAGAAAAAAGTATTGTACTAATTTTTTTTTAAAATTGACGAAAATTAAACAGATTAAAATGATAGATGATAGCTGTTTTGCACAGCATATTATATAGTCAAATAATATTACAAGTGTTTGATTCTGGAAGTAAGCAGACGTGTTATGGCACGAGTTGATTAATAAAAGGTCTAAGACGCCATAATAAAAGCTAGCATCTATGCAATTTAGGTAAGTATGACTATGTTCTTAAATAATGGGATAATCGATTCAGGCAAATATAGCTTCATATCATGAGAGAGCAACTCATAACTCACAAGTGAAAGGACAGATATTTTTTATAACTAAATTTATTGAGAAGTATATAAGAATATATAGCAAAGATGATTGAGATTAGAATTAAGAAAATTAAGGACCGTAATTACCATATCATTAGAAAAAACTAGTGAGATAAAAAAAAAAATGAGTTGTCTTGATTTTATACTCTTGATACGTAATGGTTTACATTTGCTTATTTTTAGAAATTTACATCATCGTGGTTGTTAGAACAATTAATAATTAAACGCTATTGTTGAAATTACTTTTTTTGAGTTCAAGTACTTTTACATGTATATAGTAGATTGCTAATGCCCTACAAGCTAATTTTGCAAAGTATACGTAACATATGAAAAGCTCAAAATAGCTTTCAACCATCGATACCAAAATATATAGTGAAATTAAATATACAGTATGACTCAAATAACATCCTGGGGCACTATTTTAGATAAATACGTTAATCTTAAATTCACATATAGATAAAACAAATAAATAGAAATAATACAGTTGTATGTACGTATGTATGTACAATACGTAGATATTTCTTTACAAAATATATATGTAGGCTTCTGCACTATACTAAATATATGTATATATGCATGTATATATGTATAGTGCAGAAACCTAAAAACTTTATATAGAATAAAGGTCAATAAATAAGCTAAATATATCGAAATTATTCTAACTTCTATATGATACAAAAAATTTAAAATCTCAATTTTTATAGAGATAATTAAAAATGACTTCTTAAATTATCGATTTCAATCTAAAATTCTTATATCAAAAATAAGCTGCTACTTATTTTTTTTTTTTTTACTTCAGCGATCCTTTCTTTATTTTATAAATCGGCAATAGAATACAAATAGATATTCAATTTA